AGCAGTTGGTGTTCTCGAATCGGGGGACAATTTGGGTATTTTGGCTACCGCATTTGTTGGAGTGAGTTATTTTTCTGGCTGGTTGCGTGCGTTGTGATTTGAGATAGTACCTGCTAATCGGGTTTTCGGAATTTCTTTCTGTCCCTGATGTTCGAATCTGAACTTAGTGATTTATTCTCTGCGTTGTGGAAGTAATCTGTGATGAATATTTTCTTTGCAATCCCAGATTGCTCACAAGCTATTTCGACGCTATGACAGACAAGACATTTGACGTCAAGTTGATACCCGAGTTTGATGGTTCAGTGACCAGACAAGCAGTTACTGAAAGAATTGAGAAGGCAGAACTTGTTTGTGACCTGTGTGGAATTAAAAAGGTTGAACGTGTTCTTCCTTTGAGGTTGATGGGCAGAGCATTTGTTGTTTACCAGCAGTTAATCAGATGTTGAGCAGATAAAACAAGCCCTGCAGATTGCCTTTGCACCGGATCGTTTCTTGGCTTACAAGCAGTTCGTTGAACGCTGACTGCGCCCGGACGAATCCGTTGACGTGTTTCTAGCCAACTTGAAGCTAGCAGGTCTATTTGGTGGGATATCCGAGCAAGGACTAGCATGTGGATTCATAGCAGGGTTACCAGCGCACGTCAAGCAACTACTGTGCGCGTCTTCCAGGGTGGAAAACATGAATACAAACCAACTGTTGTACCAAGCTTGGACCATAATGAAAGATCAAATTTCAACTGAGGAAATGGTTGCGGCTACCATTTCACCAGGCGGAAATGATAAACATCCAAATCAGGAGGGTATGCAATACTATTGATGCTCTGGGTGGAATCACTTTTCCAGGGACTGCTCAGTTTGACGAGAAGATGCCCATCAGTCATGCAGGTCACGCACAAGAATGTGTTGCTTCTGGTGTCAAGAAGTAGGCCACATTGCTTCATTGTGTCCAGGGAAAAGAGGAAGGGGGCAAGACGTCAGCGTCGGTCTTTTCCCTAAGCAAGTTATGAATGAAGCGCTAGCCTTTTGGGTATTTACGTGAATGGAATTAAGAGAGTGACACTGGTGGACACTGGCTGCTCCCAGACACTCGTGAGTATGTCAGCCTGTCAATCCTGGCAGGTGACAGATGTGAACGTACTCACTGTAAATGGAAATACTCTCAAATGTTGCGGAGTTGGAAGTATTAAGCTTGATGTGGACAATGCAAACCCCCTTAAAATCAGTCTTGGTAGTGGATGGAGAGCTATTGGGTTTTGACTTGTTGCTTGTGTTTGACGCCACTAAAAAGTTGGGCAGACTCCATAACAGAGTGTGGCGATGTACAGTTTCCCAAGCACGGGATAGTCTGTTGCGCTGCTATTAAAATAGAAGAACCTGATTTCTGTGCCAAATTCGACCCAAACCAGAAGTTATGGAAGTGGTCTGATGGTCGATCACCGGAGAGTTTGCAAAATCGGATGCCCAGTACCAACGGGAGTCAAGAAGGAATACGACCGTGAGCTGCAGACCTGGCTTGATAACGGTTGGTTGCAGCCTTATCCTGAAAAGGATCTCGGTCCTCCAAAAGGTTTAATTCCGTTGATGGCGGTGGTGTAGAAAAACAAAAATAAAGTGCGGCCAGTATTAGACAAGCGAGGGCTGAATGAGTGTCTCGACACACACACAGCCAATGTTGACGTGTGCTCACAGAAACTGAGGGAGTGACGTAAAAAAGGAACGGATGTCACTGTCCTTGACCTACGGCAGGCCTATCTACAAGTATATATCCATAAGTCACTTTCGCCCCTTTCAAACTGTAATCTTCAAGGGGTGAAGATATTGCTTGACCTGAATGGGTTTCAGGTTGAATGTTGCACCAGCCATAATGAAGGCCAATGTGGATGCTATGTTGTCGAAAGACGAGTTAGTTCAACAGGCAACCTCATCATACATTGATGAGATTTATGTTGACGAGAGCATGATTTCAGCAGCTCGCATGAAGGAGCACTTGGCTGCATTTGGTTTGACCTGCAAGGATCCGGAGCGGTTACGGGACAGCACACGTGTGCTGGGTTTGCATGTCGAGTAAGGTAACACGTTTAAGTGGAAACGTGAAAATGGCATTCCATCAGTTCCTGAGGTCCTGACGCGACGTAACATCTTATCGTGGTGTGGAAAACTGGTGGGTCACATTCCTGTCTGTGTGGGTGGCTTCGTGTTACTGCATCATTTGTAAAACGCAGGACAGTATCGATCATGTCTGGCTGGGACAATGAAGTGACAGATGCTCCCCTTAAGAACATGGTTGAGGATATAGCAAAGAGAATACGCCAGAATGACCCTGCACATGGTAAGTGATGCATAAGCAGACATGCTTATGAGGTATGGGTTGATGCAAGTTCTCACGCCACGGGTTTCACTGGGGGTTGACGGAAGCATTGTAGAAGACGCATGTTGGCTGCGGCCTGCGAAGGATGCCCAACATATCAATTTATCAGAATTGGACACTATTCTGAAGGGTGTCAATTTAGCATTACAGTGGAGTGCAACAGAGATACACCTCTTCACGGACTCTGTGTGTGTGTGCACCAGTGGGTATTAAACATGCTCACTGGCAAAGCCAGAATACGAACTAAGGCAGCAAGTGAGATGCTGATCCGGAGGCGTTTGAGTACTCTTGAAAAGCTGATTCAAGAGTATAACTTATTGATCACAATAGATCACAATAAGTTTAGTAACGTCAAGTGAGAATCGAGCAGATAAGCTCACCAGAGTACCGCAACGATGGTATGATGTGATCAATAAGGAAATGGAACCAACACACCCAATATGCACTTCCATGGTGAACGGAATCTCTTCTGATCAGATATGTGCCATACACTGCCAGAGTGGACATCCTGGTGTCGGGTGAACGCTGTATTTTGTGAGACAAGTTTACCCTATGACATGCAAGGCACCTGTCAGGGCAGTGGTCAGAAAATGTAAAGAATGCCAGTCAATTGACCCAGCTTCAAGTCGTTGGCCTCGTGGCAACCTAAGTGTGACTGAGATCTGGACCTGCTTAGGAATGGATATTACGCATTATGGTGGGCAACACTCCCTTATGTTAATTGATTGCAGCCCCAGTCGATTTGCGATATGGCAACACCTGCTTCAACAAGACTCAAGAAGCGTCATTCGACAGTTGGAAAGTATTTTTTTTAACGAAGCCCACCATCAGAAATCCTGACCGACAATGACACTGCATTTCGCAGTAAGTCCTTTAAAGATTTCTTGGATGACTGGGGAGTCCAACTTCGTTTTCACTGTGCCTATGTTCCTGCAGGAAACGGTATAGTGTAAAGATTTCATCGGAGCATAAAAAGAATTGCAGCAAGAAAGCAGTGTTCGATAATGGAGGTAGTATACTGGCATAATATCACACCGAAGGATGATATATCATCGACTAATGAACCTGCCAATATGAGTATAGTGAAGAAAACGGCGACTTACCTCATCAAACCAAGCAAGAGCACGTCGCGTGTATCCTATGATGGAAAATGTGGCGAAAAAGAAAATTTCTTACCCCCCCAAAAAAAGGGCACCTATTCTGCATGACATGCCGAAGACGAAATATTTAAATTAAAAAAAGAATCCATTGCAGGAGTCGCCATAAAAGTATTTTGATATGCAAAAATTGAGCATCCTCTCCCATCTGTTGGCTAATGGAAAAAATGCTCGGCCAATAAAAGCAGTTGGTGTTCTCGAATTGGAGGACAATTGGGTATTTTGGCTACCACGTTTGTGGGAGTGAGTTATTTTTCTGGCTGGTTGCTTGCATTGTGGTTTGTGAGATAGTACCTGTGAATCGAGTTTTTGGAATTTCTTTATGCCCCCGATGTTCAAGTCTGTGTAATCTGTGACGAATGTTTCCTTTGCAATCCCGGATCGCTTACATTTTTGCAATAAGTAAAATTATGCAATGAATATAGAAAGTTGTATTGAAATTTAATAATTATTTCATTATGATTTAATTTGTTTTGTTTTTTTTTCCTCATTTATTTTCAAATATAAAATAATTATAATTGAAATTACAAACTACAATTTGAAATATTTTTTTCTCAAATACTCCATTGTTTTTCTTTGACTAATATTGTTTATATTTATTAATTTGTTCCTTTGTTTTTCATACACTTATTCCTGTAATTTATTCAGTAATTGCATGATTAAATCTTGAAGATATTACTTTAAGTTACCTATTTTTAACAATTTTAGATATTGTTCTTCTGAGCATAAAATTTTGATAAATTTCTATTAGTAATATTTACTTTCATGTTATGATAAAAATTAGGTTGCCTTCATAGTTATGTCTTTTGGATAGTAGCTACCAAAATACTTAAAGAATAGATGCAAATTGTCATTTTCAATTTAGCAAACAAAATTCTTTGTATAAGTTTATTATATAGCATTAAAGTTAACTTTTCCTTTTTTTTTTTTTTTTTTAATATATATATAATTTTCATTATGGTGTTCTATTTAACTTTGGTCTGTTAGATATATAAATATTTTACAAGCAATGATTTTGCACATAAATGTTGTTAGTAAGAACTATTAAACATAGATAGGAATAAGTTTTTCATTATAATTTTTTTCATTAAATTGGCAATCTTTTTACAAAACTAAAATTTAATTTAAAATTAATTAAAATAAAGTTTCTGGGGAACAAGTTGACTAAAGATAACCATGTAATTTAATGCCAAATGTAACCTATTAATATATAAGGAAATGAATCCATGATAATTTTGAATGCTACAAAGAATGACAAATTTAACAAATGAACTTTCAACAATGATTTTATGTATGCAACATTATATTTAAATAGTTCATAGCTTAAAGGAATTGTTGAAAAGGCAACAAAATATAATTGACATGCAAAAATCAGTTTGTATTCAAAATTTTTGTTGTCCTTAAATAATTATTTAATCATTTAAATTGAATGTTGTTTATACTTCATTTCTTTCTCTCTCTCTTTTCTTTTTGTAGAGCTACAAATTTATTGAAAGTGGCGCAACCTGTAATTGAGGATTGTTCACAAGCTTCCATTACCATAAAAACCTTTTATGGTCAGAACAACAACAACAGGAAGGTTCCATTTTATTTGAGATATTCTCAGGGTTGTAACAAACAATCCCCTTTAAAAGAGTTTCAAAACATTTGTCAGCTAGAACAAGACACTGATGCAACACACCTTGAATCAATTCAGAAAAATGAGTGTCAAAAGCCTGTTTCATGCAAACGACCCTGCTATTACCAAGAACCTGAAGAGAGAAAGAAATATGTGGCAGCCTTAAAATCATTTTCTCTTGTTAAGAAAACTGTTGAAAATATTGGAACTCTGACATCTCAGACATCTATTCCAGTGTCTCATTCAATGTCCATATCTACAAAAAGTGCAGAAGAACGTAAATTTTTTAAGAATCGAGGTGTTTCTGAATCAAGTACTAGTGAAGGCAATACTGTTACTGGAACAGCAGTCATTAAGCGAGGATTTAATTTAAGTTTTGTTCCTCGTCGTCTGAGCTCCAGCTTTGACAAAAAAGTTAAGAATCACAGGAAAGGTCTATATCTACAAAGGAAAAAACGACATTACAGCAAAAATAACACAGTAATAGAAAAACCATTGTCTCCTTTGTCCAAAGTATTTCCTGAACTTTATTTAGACTCACTGTCTTCCACTACATCTACTTCAGAAACTGAGCTTACCACAATATCACAAGTGGAAGATCCTGTCAGTTGTAAAACCTCTGAAGTTGGGAATGAGAACACCTATTGGAGTATGTTGGTCACCCCTGTTAAAAATAGCAGTGATATATCGACTTCCTCTCCTTGTCTTTCTACTTTGTCTGATTCAGAATCAATGCGTGAGTACTGTTAATTTCACTTAGTCTATTATAGTGCAATTGCTCAACATCTGTTTATATTTAAGAGAGCTGCTTACAGTTTTTGACATCTCATAACTAAATTGATTTTATGATTTAGAACAAAAATGATGTACAATTACTTGATGTGCTATTTTGCTTCATACACTTGTTTTTAATTGTCGCAATTTGAATCTGAGCTTGTTACAACAAGTATCTCTCTTCTCTCTGTCTTTTCTCTGCTAACTTTGTTGAGTAATGACGTACAGGTCATCTGGCTTTCTTTTCCCTCCTCAGTTGGAGCTGGTGTGTTGCCTCAATAGGGTTGATTCAAGTTTCCTAAAATCTTAGGATATTGGGGATTGATGGTGAAGTTTAGTGTGGATCTATGTATGTTGTATACCATAGTTAAGAATGAATAATTCTCAACTTACAGCCATTTTAACTTTTATCTCTTTACAACTTAGGAATCAAGAACTCCTTCAATAAAATGCACAACAATGTTGATAACTCTAACAACAGGTTTATTGAATATAAAGAAAAAAACTGGTTGAATAAAATGTCGCTTATTATCTACTGCAAAATCAAGTTCTCTACTGCTGGATGGTGAGTTGAAAAATCTAGTAACAAATGCTAAAATAATAACCAGCCAGTCTACACTCACTCAATTCTTCAATCATGTTGGTGTCTGTGTTTTCATTTTGGGCCACAGGAATTGCAGGTGTGCTCTTTAGCGACAACTGTCTTATGAGAAATCCCGGGTATCTCCAAGCTGACTTCCTCTAAGGCCTGTCTCTGTCCTGGAGATCTCTCATTATATACACAACTCTTCCACCAAAATTTGACATTGATATATCTAATTTCTCCACCACAATTGTCTTAATCTTAGGAGATCTTGTTAAAACCATATGGTACTCTCTTTGTTTAGAATCTTCCTAGATATCTTTCTGTAAGATAATGGTGTTTTGGTATAGTCAGCATCAACACAAACAAATCCCAAGTGGGAATTAACAAAAATACAGAGGTTTCCTTTGTTTAAAAGAATTACTATCATTATTTTCTGTCAGGACACGTATTTTGGACAGATAATATGATGTAAACAAACCTCTGAACTTCTTCAGGGCCCAATAAATTCAAACAACATATAAATCATGTCTTATCAGCAGGAGGGGATTAAGTGGGAACCTTGGTTTTGCTCAATTTTACTGAATTTTGGTTAGTTAATTCTGGGTTCAATTCTTTTTGGAACTCTTATTATTTTAAATTTTAAACTATTTATTTTTTTCTCAGCCATTCAACTTACTCTCCTGAGAATTTTAATAATTATTTTCCAATTAGTAGTCCCCCTAAATCATCATCCTGTAATTTCATGCAATTAAACATTTAAACAGGGTCCATGCCTTGTTACAGTGAATTGTATACATCTTCAAATTTATTGATTATTCTTTAGAATTATTCTTTTGTGAAAAACATTTTTAGAATACCTACAAAAAGACTAATCATAATAATCACAATGTGCTTTTGCTTTCCAGAGAGCCAGAAACTTTTCTCAATATTTTCATACAGTAGGCAAAAAGTGCAAAGTCAGTCATGTCTTGTGTAAGTATTAAACATTTTGATAAAATTAGTACGTAAACAAAATTTAATCTTTTCTTTTCTAAAGATACAATTCTTCCTCATTATTCCATATTTTTTTAGCTTATGTCACTACTTCAATGTAAGCTGACATTTTTCCTTATTTTTGAAGTTGACAATTTCATAGTGTTTTTCAAAATTTTCTCCCTACACATATCAAAATAGTCTCATTTTAACAAAAAAAAAACAGGCTCTCATAAATTTTGTGGGCTTAAGATATGGTTTGAAATAGTCTTTCATAAAAAAATTTTAAGTTGAAAATTAGTGGATGAAATACAAGAGAAATTCAACTATTAAAAACAAAATGTAAATTGCACCTCCTTGTAGAGCATGTCTCGTCTTTAATAATTGTATTAATAGTTGTACATATCACTGTTCCTATTCAAATTGAATCACATGTGCATGAAAAACTGGATTGAGATTGTCCATTTCTTGCAAAGCCATTGGGTCTGATGCATTGAAATTTGAATTGCTGACAGAATGAACACTATTTTTAAATCAAACTTGTTTCATTGATGGATATTACAGTTTAAATCTTTTTCTTATTGTACTTTATCCAAACTGTCACACTCAAATCACTTTTGCTCGGCTGTTTTTGTGCATTTTCTTTAAAAAGAAAAAAACATTGAAGTTAATTCATATTATAAAAAAAATGTTCAAGATACCTGGAAATTTTCTTTTAATTTGACAATGTAACTTTCCTAAAGCTGGATAAGACTGAGAATGAAATGTTTAAATTAGATTTATACAACATTTAAAAACACTTCATAAGTATATTTCTACCATTGAATAGTAGGTATCTGTTTATCTCATAAGATAAAGGTAGCACTCTATTTGGTAAATTCAGTCCATTGGTGATGAGACTGAAGTGACCTCTCCAGGGCAAAAACCTGGGTAATGGTATATGGAGGCCATATAAGTTGTCAGTATTGACAGCTAACGGCTCTTTGGGGCTCCACTCCAGGTTTTCTGCCTAGATTTTCTTCCGTGGCTTTTTCTGTGTTTGGATATGAGTGTAAGGCATTGGAGGTTTAAAATCAGAGTTTTCCTTTCTGTAGATAGCCTTCCTGGGCTGTTGAGCTCCATCTACCTCAAGCAGATGGTTATGAGGTGCTAGTTGTCCAGCTTTGCCCATTCTTCAGCTTGGAGCTGGACTTGGAGTATATTTGAGCTGCATTCCACAGAAGCATTTTATAGACAGTGCGAGCTTATCCCCACTATCACACTTGGCTCTGACAACCTTTGGAACATATATAATGTATAAACCTTATATACATTACATGTTTTAGACAAAAAAAAAATGTAACATTGTATATTGGCCTAAATAAGGATATAATTGTTGAGGAATATTCTTACTACAGAATTTGAGTAAATTTTTCAAGTCATTATCAACATTTTTTTATTCTACTCAACATAATTAGCATAAAACTTTACATTTTAAATTTTACATTTCCTTGAATGTTTGTCATGCAATTTTTAAGAATGTATCTTTTCAAAGAGCTTATTTATGAATATTCTAAAATAAAAAAAAAAAGATAAATGTTAAGTTTCTGTTGATTCTGCATAATTTCCTTTTTTTTGTAATTGCATTTTAGGCCACCATCAGAGTCCAATATTTTGATGCCTAGATTCATTAAAGACAGTGAGGATCTTCGTCAAATGACATTGGTTAGTTTCCACTTTTACTATGCTGGATTTGTATAATGCTTTGTGAAATATTTTTTATACCTTTAAAAATCAACAGTTATTGTAAGTAAAATGTGTTTCGTTAACAATAAAAGCTAATTGAAATATTATTAAATATTTATAATATTGTAAGACTTGTAACCTAAAGACAGAAATTTTTTAGTTTTAAGAGAACAATACTTTTGTGTTGCTCTATTAATGTTTTTTTATGAAGAATTTAAGATTTTTTTTTTTTTTTTATTATTGTTCAAAAGCCCTAATAATTTGCGTATTATTTTCACACAGCTGTACATTTTCATTTTAAAAATTTTCCCACTTTTGATCATTCCTAAAATTTATAATCATGGTGAGAATTGATAAACTAAAATTATTTTAACATGATATCTTGATAACATTGTCATCTCATTTCTTTTAATGCTAAAGTAAAAATATTGTCTGTAATTCCTAGATTAAATGTTTTCATGATTACATAAATTATTTGGTCTAGTATCCTCATCTTTGTTATCTTTGTCAGATGTATTGCATTTGGTAATCTTTGAGTGTCATCCATTGTTTTTGTAAATGTTTAAAGACCTGTTTTTTTTTTTTTTTTTTTTTTTTTTTTTTTTTTTTCTTTCTAAAATTTTGCTTTCACTTGTCAGAGGCTGCATAAGTGAACTTTCATACTCTCTGAGACCAGTACTTGGGAGTAGGAATGTAACAGATTTTGACATTCAGCTGTTGCATCCAAGAACTAGATTTCTGACTGGATAATATTTATCACAACACTAATAATTTTTCATGTAAAAATCCTAAATAAATGAGCTATGCTAAACATCTAAAACTACAGATTAAGTTTACTGTAGATAATATTTTTTTTCTAATATGTTAAACACATGTATCCGATAAAACTTATTTTAAGGCTGTCAAAGTAAGTGCAAATTTCCTCAAAAATGACTGCAAAAACAGTAACCTGGTAAATTTTAAAAATCTACTAAAATCAAGTTTTCAACACATATTCATTACTGAATGAACTTTTGAATAGATTATTCTATTAGAAAATTTTGTGAAATATTTTTTCCAGTTCAGTTTATTTACTCATTTTATTTACATCAAGTAACTCATTAAAAAAAAATGAACTTTGACTATAGCAAATTTCTAAAAATATAAATTCTTCTAGAGAAGCCAAAGGAAAAAAAATAAAATATTTATTATCAACTGAAAATATGTCCTGAAGTTTTAAAAAAAAAAAAATAGTAAAACTTGAATATTTCTGATATGAAGTATTATAATTACAAAATATTAGCATACATGAAGAATATTCAATATTAGCACAAGGTTTTGATGCTTGAATCTGAACTATTTCTATTAAAAAAAAATAGCAAATTATTAAAAATTTATATACTGGATGAGGGTAAAGAATTACTTGACACAGCAAATTATTTAAAGTGAAGACTGAAGGACATAACTGCTGAAAAGTGCTTGAAAATAACAAAGATGGAAATATTTCAAAGAATTTATTGAAAAGTCAGATTTTATTTTAGTTTCAATATTTTTTTTTCCATTTGAGATTCTATCTTTTTGATATAATTTCTTATATATCTGAAATTAAAAACTAAATATCAATAACTATACTATTATTTATTTACAATATGATGAGAAACTCTTGGGCTGCATAATAAAATCTCTCACTGCCTTAATAAATTATTCTAGATATTTCTAATAAAAACATTAAAAGCTACTGTAAAAATATTGACCTTCATAATAAAATTCTTATACATTGTATAAAATATAAAAATAAAAATTCAGACTTTAAACTTATTGAATGAACTTTGCCTGAATCATCATTGATATTTCTTTTATAGACAATCTAATTTCATTGACTTTATTTTAAAAACATGTTCATTTGTTTTATCTTAACTTTATTCTATTTTTAATTTTTGTATTTTTTATAGGATGCAGGTCAAAAGAAATTTGGTGCAATTCAGTGTCTTCAGTGTGGAATGGTGTATACACAAGCTGATCCCTTAGATGAGACGACTCATGCTAAATTCCATCATTCTGTACTATCTACACTTAAGTTTCCTGTAAGCAATCTGTTTTTGTTTCAGGATTTAACATTCTTTACTGTTCTTGATAGAATTTTTGAGAAATGATATCTATACTGGAATCTGCTTAAAACAATTGTTTCTAATGATCTGTTATCATTTGTTGCAGGGTTGGAAAAAAGAGAGAATTGTTCAAGAATACCCAGAATTGGGCAGTCGCATTATTATGGTTATGCCTGATGATCAAAAATATGCTCTTCGGAAGGTAATATTAGGTGTTACAGCAATTTTAACAAGTAAGGAAATCCATTTTCCTGACAATGTAATTGTGTCAGTTATATCAAAATGAACCTAATGTTTTAAATATTTTTCCAAGACATGCAGAAAATTAAAGATTTTTTACTTTAAACTAGAATTAAATTGAAGGAAGAGATTTTTAAAGTAAGTTGGCAGAAATTTGATGTTTTTTCTCCTTTTTAAAAGCCTGTTTGCATTATTCATTTTATTTTACTTTTAATTCTGGCTATTTTTATTAAAAATTGTCACTGTTTAATGTTAGAATGTAAGAATGGGATTGATCATGAAATTTATCCAAAAAGGAACCAATATCTAACAAAATAACGTCTGGAATATTTTACCTTTCTCCATGAGCTTTCATTTTGCTGAGTTAGAATAGGTCACATTTTTACTTATTTATATATATCCAATTTTAAGTTAACATTTTATTTTTTTTATCAAATCATTGTAATTAAACTGTGAAGAAAAATTATATGTTAATTTATAGCCAATTGTTTCAAAAAAACCTTGTTCATTTTTAAATGATTCTCTACAAAGAGGAAAAACTTTATATTATCCAACATGCACTATCATTAAAGAAATTGCTATTTTGTTACACCCAAGAACAACAAGTACTGTCAGAGTTAACTCCTGGCAACTCTAGGTTTTTGGCCAATGATAATCATCATAGCAATGAATCTTATTGCACTGCTGTTATTTTGTTTTTATTTTTTTATATATAGTAATACTTTATCATCTGTTATTTATTTTATTATCCAATTGCTGTTGGACCATTCAGTAAAATTTTAATTTCCTCAGATTTAATTATAATAAAACAAGTTTACAAAGATAATGTGTGACAATTTAATTTTTAGAATAACCACATGTTGCTGGGGTAAGGAATCAGACAAACAGTTTTACCCAAGCATGTCCAGGCATGCCCTAATTTTGTGATGACTCATTTTCTTGAGATATAGCTGGTCACTCTTTACTAAGTATTAGAAGTTGTATGTGTTGTACTGTTGGTGGAAAATGAGTGAAAATAAACTGGAGCTTGGCAATTTTTATTAAAAAAGCTATTTTTAATATGTTAATAAAACTGAAACAGAATAATCCATTTTCTTTTCTTTTTCCAGGAGAATTGACAACAAAAATATTAAATGTTATTTACTTATTTATAAGATTATAAAATATGTGAAACAACTACAATGCAATATTTATTATTTACCATATTATAAAAGAAATAACTATGAAAATAAATTTCTTTATTCATAAAAATGTCTGTGAATGAGAGAAGAAAATTAAATACATATAATGTAATTATAAATTTTTAAAAAATGCAATTTCTGGATTTTTTTTTCATTTGCACTTGCCATATAATTACACTAAATTAGATTGAAAGCATCTGGATTTATATATACAATCTTTTTTTTCCCCCAAAAATTTATAATTACAGTTATTTATTGTTGTGTTTGTGACACTGAGGCTGTGAGGCGGTTAGCATTAATTCTGAGCAGAAAAAGGTTTAAATCCAAAATGAAATAGAAGATAGAATGGAAGACATTTTCCCCGATAACGCAGAAGTGAAAAAGGGCTGTCTGGATTGTTTCACCCCTACAAATTGGAACGATGCATCAATATTTATTTTTTCTTATCTATCAAGAGTCTGGCATGTGGATGAAAACAGATTTGTGAAATGGCTTTATCTCTTTCTTGGGAAATTAGAAAAACACGTCATTGGTGAGAAGAGAGGCAAATTGTGACAGAGAGAGTCTGGGAAACACACACACTTTTTTTTTTTTTTTTTTTTTTTTTTTTTTTTTTAGTGAAAAGTGGATTTGAACAGTGAAATTAGATCAGAGCATTTTTGTTTACTGATGGTGAAACCTGATCTAGGGCAGGAGCTGTACCAATTGGAACTAGGTCATTAGCAGACAATGGAAATGGTCAAAATAATTTTTATTGATTAAAACTTGGAATAAAGCTGAGTAAGTAAGAACGACCTTTTGAATTCACATGATTTTGATTGAAACAGCCAGAACCTCGTGATAAACACATGTGACCAAGGTTCAGTTGTAACCAGCCGGATTTTTCTATATAAACACGTAGTTATGCTGAAGAAGCAGCAGACGGAAGAGAGAGACAGAAGAGAATTAGCCCGGGGAAGAGTTGGGCTAGAGACAGTGGAGAGTCGAGTTGGAAACTTAAGGAGGAGAGAACGTGATGTCAGAGATTAGAACGAAGCGTCCGCTAACATGTCCTGTTGATATAAGTACCACTGCTTCTGCTACCATGAATAGTACTACTACTTCTAAGGAGGAACGCCACTATAAACTTCCAAGCCGTGCACAGAAATCTTATTCTCCCATCGCAAGAGTCATATATCGTTCTGAGACGATTTAACAACAAGTTAATCATAACACCCACTCTCTCTGTGTCCAGAATCCAGTGTATGCATTTTTACGTCAATTACTTTTCTTTTCTGTAACCCGTTTCTTTTCTCTACTATTCTTTCCTGCTATATAAATTACATTAACAATTCAATCATTCGATAGTTGTTTGTCTGGCTTTCTGCAGATATTTAATTTTTTTTTTTTTTTTTTTTTTTTTGCTGCATTCTAAAGTTGTTAGCGCAGACTCTCCAGCCGTGTCTACATCTTCAGTCGACCGTGAATGGATAAACATCACTTCTGCTTTCTGGATCAAACCAAACACAACGTGGGCAGGAAGCAGGATTAAACCAGTGGACTGGTCGAATAATCTACAGATACTCAGGGGGACCTACATCCACTCTCTTAAGTTCAGTTAAGACGGAGTAGACACTTCAACCCAGAAAGTAAGACGTCGGAGGTTAAGGGGCTGGGGCGAAAGTGTTAGACTGGTGCTGTGTTTACCAGGATAGACCCATGGGAATTACCACGGCCTTCTGAAAGAGGAGAGAAGGTTGCATTTGTTTTGTCCACTCGGGACCAAGTAAGACCAGAAAGGACTCTAGTCTTCAGACTATATTGGTCTGAATGAGACATAAGAAGGAAAAGAGAAGGAAGCAAAAGGAGGAGGAAAAAGAAACAAAACACAGAGCGGCGGACCTCAGGTAAGTCACTTTTTGGTTTCCTTTGTTCGCTCATTGCACTTAGATCTGCCAGTAATATTGTTGAACTTGTTTTAACTTTGTTGACTTTGTATGCAGTTGAAGCGCCACCACCGTGTTAAGTATTTTTCCTTTCGTTCTGCCGTCGGTCTCTCTTCTCATAGGAAAGTGGTAGTTGACAAGACGCTAGGATGAGGTAGCAGGATCAGACATCACAGATGACCTAGGGGACGTGGGAGTCCCTGAAATATCGATGGGTTTCAGGAGGCTAATAGGTAGCATGAAGCAACCTACTTATAAAGGAAACCCTGCACAAATGGATTCTGTCCATTCAGAAGATGCAGGTGATCTATGGCCTCTCGGACCAAGAAATGGTGCTCCTAGCTTATGACGCTGCAGTTGGGCAGATGTCCAAGTTCATAGGTGGCACAAAGAAAACCCAGCCCTGACGTGGACCGAGCTTAAATCCGCTCTGGTGCGGCAATACGTAAGTGAGCGTATGGCCATTGAGACAGCCAGGAAATTATTCCAGCTGCAGCAACAAGGAGAGACTAATGAGGAATTGGGGGACAGAATTGTGGGGCTAGTGGCATTAGCTTTTCCGGAGTTGGCAACTCGGGACAGTGGTCCTATTCAGGCCTTGTTGGTCGATGTGAATGTGCTGAGTGACAGGGACCTAAGGGAGGCGGCTCAGACCAGCGAACAACTCTGGGATAGAATAAGAGGGGGTGTAGGTAGGAACCGGGGTGGGGGCAAAGTAGTGATGAAAAAGAAGGACCGGGAGCGGATCCAGATACAGGACTCGAAAGAAGAGGTGGAAGAGGACTGGAAGGCTGAAGCAGTTCCCAATAGGAGAGACTGGGATCTGCGTTATGGCTTTCACAAGCCCACACCGGCCCGATATGTGCTGGACTTGCAAGTATGGTGAGCATCTGGCCCGCGACTGTCTGACAAACTATGGAGGCAACCCAAGGTCTCTGGGGCCAGACTGCATGACTTGTGGCGAGTTCGGGCACAAGGCTCGGTGTTGTACGGCAGAGGGAGATCGTAAACTGGGGATTAAGTGAGTTAATACACTGGTGCCCCCTACCAGGAAGGAAAAGGGTCCGGGAAACGCTGATGGGTCACACATGAAAAAGTAAGAGGCAGGGTGGCCCCAGTGCAAGTAAGACCTCTGAGATGCTGGACATGTGCGGCAAGTTGTAGGGAGCGAGGGGTTGGCGCTGTGGAGGAGTGGGTCACCTGAGACGAACCTGTCCTCGCAGGAGAAAGATAGACCACACTGAACGAAACAACCCTAACTTGAATAGAGGGGAGAAATGGGTTGTTCGTCCAAGAAGAGTCATCCAAGCTCTACCCTACCCAGGAGGGTCCCTAGACAGAAATTGGAGCCCCTAGGAAAAGTTGAACTCCTGTCAGCGACTCCCACGTCTCGGTTGTCGAGAAAGCGAGAGAACATACGGGAAGGAGAAAGGCACAGGTATACTGTTTGCTGAGGGAAGGGCCAGACTTGTAATGTGTTGCTGGGAGACAAGAAGGTGAAGGCCCTTGTCAATACTGGAGCTTCAGTGTCACTGGTTAGCTCCAAGTATTTTAGACAGTTGGGACTGAAAATGAAGCTTAGACCCGTTGATCTACTAATAAGTCAGGCTGATAGTAGCAGGATGAGGATAGAGGGTACGACGTGGCTACCTTTCCAGTTGGCAAGAACCAGAGGTAAACTTAAGGTTTATGTGGCACCTGACTTATGTGGTGAGCTAATTTTGCGGAGTGACTGGCTTAGGCAGAATAAGGCACAGATCCGTTTTGACCCTGCCACCCTAACATTGGACAGGGTAGGGATACTGTTGGGAGAGGATAATTATGAACAATTGCCAAGATTATAATAGGAGGAATGC